TTTCTTTTTTTTTTTTTTTAAGAAAAAAAGTACTCTTCGTACTCTTTCGACGCGCGATCTTCGTGTTTTCGAGTTTTTTTGAAAACGAGAAACGTCCTTCGATGATCTTTCTATATTTTTCCTATATATTGAAGTGGAAACTTTTAAGGGCAAAATTCTTTTTTTCTTTTTTTTTTCTTTTTTTGCTATTCATGATTTCTAATGGAGAATGGAAAAAGTTGTGTTCTCTGGTTGTGTCGAAGATTATCGTTTTCATCGATCTTGTTCGACCTTTGTTTTTAGGAAATAACGTTTCTTTTTACTATGGAAAAATAATTTTTAAATGAATTTGTAATTTAAATTAGATTTGATGAAATTTTTCCATTTTGATTATTAAAATAAAAATTCGCATAATAAAATTAAATTACTTAACAAGAATAATAATTAAAACAGTTTCAAAATAAGTTTCAAAATAAGTAAGTGCAAAAGATTATCTTTTTTCTATCGCCAAATGAATAATTAATAATTTTTTTAAAAAACTTTACAATTTTTCCACGATATTTGTTTAATTCGAAACGTAAAATGAAATTTTAATTTCCTTGCAATATAAGGATATCAAGTTTCTATTTTTTTTTTTTCTATCATTATCATTAAGTAATAATTTGAAACGGATTATTAAAGTAGAATGAGCATGTAATTAATATACTCGATCGCGAGGAATACATTTATTTTTATTTTTTTTCACATCTAAATACGTTCGCCATTTTCACGCGAGAAATATATATTCCTCCTCGTTGGATTAGGATGTAATTTAAAAATTGATTGCTTCCATCTATTATCTTCTTGTTCCAGAACGGAACTGGGACGGAACTAATAATTAGGGCTACGAAATGTAAGGCTCGTCTGTGTCTATCCTTGCTCTATTCAACCATTCAGCATTACCTTACCTTCAACCTTCTGCCTTTTGTTTTCACCTTTTTCCTTACCTGCTGCTCACCCCCCTCGTTGCATCGGTTCAACCCACTCCACGTTCTGTCTCTACACGCTTGTCAAAACTTTGCTCAGTAGAGTATCTTCGATCTTTATATCGATTAATTAAACACATTTCCTCGACCTAAACACAACAAATTGTCGATCGTCCAAAGACAAAAGCAAAAGGAAAAAAAAAAAAAATAAATCTTTAACGATTAAAAATATAAAAACGTTATTTCAACAATTTCGAAATATGAATACGAATATCGACGTTAATTCGAACGATTCCACGGAATAAATTTAAGAAATAGCTTATTAATCGTGTGTGTTAATTTTTAATTACGAGGAATAAGATACGGAAGGAAAAGAAAGAAAAAAAATATTATAAAAAGAAGGAGGTAAAGTTTCGACGAGGTAGCGCATGAGAAAGGAGGGGGGGAAAAAAAAAGGAAAGTGTGAGAAAGGAAAAAATGGATAACAACAGAAGGGATATATTCCTTCGAAGCAAAAATGATCCGAGGTGGGTCCAGCGTGGAGGATGCGCCCTGGGCGTGAGTCGAGTAATTAAATACAAAGTGCGCTCATTTGTGAGGTCAGTGGCAAATAACATGTTATCCGACCACTGGTAATTTATGAGAATTATTGCCGTGTGATGCTTATTCCGTCTGACCCTCCACGAAGTTCGAACCTCGATGAATATATCTGTACATACATATATATATATGTATATGGAATTATATATATTTGGAGCTATTCAATGAATATGTATATTTGTAAGGAAAATAGAGACGTAAGAGGTTTCGCAGGGCAGACTAAAAGACGAAGGAATGTCGACTAATTATCATTTACTCCACCCCTTCCCATTCTTTCCTTTCTTAAAATTTTCCATCTTATTAATAATTCATTAATAGAAAGAAATATTTCAAGTTGAAAAAAAGATTGATTTTTCGAGAAAACTCTTGATATGAAAGAATTCGTTTCTCATTTGTGAAATTTGTACAATGTTTCGTTTGTATATTCTATTAATAAATTAATAAATTTCGATGATTGGGTTATTATAATTTGAATTTCTACGTAATCTAGTCTATGACACGTGGCTGATCTTGACCACCAACGAATCTATGTTGTTTTCCTTTGGACGCAAGGATAAAATAACTTTATTTTCTTCTGGTTTTCTTACCGCCGTTTGAACTTACCGCCACGCCGCCTAGTTATTTGAGCGCCCTTGAGATATACCATTTTCGAGAGCGTAATCGCTAATCAGTCGTCCGATTTCAAAGAAAGGGACACGAGTCACAGATAAAGACCAGTTTCGAAGTTGACTTCGGTTTTCGGGTGAGCCGCTTTGACCACTGAAAATCTATATAACTACGCTTTGTTGGCAGATTTTACGATTTCTACGAAACCGTGCTCCTTCTGTACACAAATCGCAACTTCCGTTCTTTGGCAGAAATTACTATTCCTTTATGCAATCGTCACAGTTCTCACTTTCATATGTTTGACGTGGAAGTTGAAGTATAATCTTAAATAATCCACTTGATTTTCAAAAAATATTTTTCTTTGCAATATATATAGTATAAATAGTAGTAATAATATAATATAAATAGTAGTAATAATATAGTATAGTCTTAAGAGTATGATTAAATATGGATTTGAAATCTTTTATTTTCCTGAAAATATTTTACGAATTTGTAGTACAATGTTAAAGAAATTGCTTTTGAATAAGAACGAATAACCTCCCCAAATTCGTAATATTAATCAAGTAATCACTAATCGATAAAAATACGAATATTATATTGGATGGTAAATAAATTCGACATTAAAGCTAAAAACTGGAAAAACAAATACTTGGAAGCTTATTTCGAATCACAACTTCCGTTTTTTGGCAGAAATTATTATTCCTTTATCGTTACTCAATCACATTTTCTTCTATATATTTGACATGGAAGTTTAAGTATAATCTGAAATGAAATTGACTTCCACTTATTTTTCCTCACGAGTAAATGTCGATTTGAAAACTTTTATTTTCCAATAAAATATATTTTACGAATTTATAGTACAATGTTAAATAAATTGATTTTGAATAAGAATAACCTCTCCCTAAATTACATTAATTTCTCTAATCAAGTATTTGTTTGATAAGAATACGAATATTACATTGGATGTAATAAATAAATTTGACATTAAAGCTTATTTTCTCTCTAATCAAGTATTCGACAAGAATATTAGAGCATTGGAGGATAAATAAACATTTGACATTAAACGTAAAAATTGGAAATTGTTGAAAGATTAAATATGGATTTGAAACCTTTTATTTTCCAAAAAATATTTTACGAATATATACAATGTTCTAAATAAATTGCTTTTGAATAAGAACGAATAACCCCCTCCAAATTCGTATTTCACTCAACTTTTAACAAAATTATTTTCTCTTCAAAGTAAGTATACACTCAACAATTACGAATATTATATTGGAAGATTTATTTCTTTCTTGAATCTTTTTTTAATAATCACTCCACGATTAAATATAAATTTAAAAACTTTTATTTCCTCTCTAATAAAATATTCGACAAGAATACAAGCATTAGAGGATAAATAAACATTTGACATTAGACGTAAAAATTGGAAAATGTTGGAAGATTAAATATGGATTTGAAATCTTTTATTTTCCAAAAAATATTTTACGAATTTATAGTACAATGTTCCAAATAAATTCTTTTTGAATAAGAACGAATAACCCCCTTCAAATTCGTAACATTATTTCACTCGATTTTTAACAAAGATTATTTTCTCTTCAATCAAGTATATACTCGACGAATGTTACATTGGAAAATAATGAAAAAATATAGTATAGTTTAACGAATATGTAATTTAATTTCTTTCTTGAATCTTTTTTTCTAAAAAATAAAAAATTTATTTTCTAAAAAATATTTTACGAATTTATAATATAATTTTCTAAATAAATTCGTTTTGAATAAGAACGAATAATCCTCCCCTAAATTACATTATATATAATTAATCTCTCTAATCAAGTATTCGCTATAAGAATACGAATAATCAAATATTCGACAAGAATACGAGCATTGGAGGATAAATAAATATTTGACATTAGACGTAAAAATTGGAAAGTATTGGAAGATTAAATATGGATTTGAAATTTTCCAAAATATATTTTACGAATTTATAATACAATGTTCTAAATAAATTACTTTTGAATAAGTAGAAATAACTTTCCCAAATTATATTAAATTCTAATCTAATATAATCTAAATTATATTAATCAATAATCTTTCTAATTCGCTCGATACGAATATTACATTGGATGGTAAATAAATTTG